CGGAGCCCTCGGGAAAGCCAGCCGCGCTCTGCACGCGCCCAGAGGGCTCGTCGGCCGCCCAGAAGGCTCGTCGGGAGGGTCACCTGGTGGTGCACCGTCCGCTATCGATCTGGGAGACCCCGGAACGGGTCAGACCCCTCCCCACCCTTTCCATCTGGGTCGGCAGCCCCAGCCGAAAGGAGCCGGTGGTGGGGAGGGGGTCTAGCGCAGCTCCTGGGCGCTGCCGGCGGAGCGGGGTCCAGCGGGGACCTGGGGGGGGGGAGCTGCTGGAAAAACAAGTTGGGGGGCTAGTCTGGAGCCCGGCCTGCTGACTGCCTGCTTGGAGGGACGGTGGGACGGCCGCAGCTGCTTCTCTGACCCCGGATTGTGGCAGGGTCCCGATGTGGGTGAGGCTGGGGTCGTCCGGAGGAGCTGCCCCATGAAATGACGGATAGAATCGGAGTTCTGAAAGTTTTTCCAAAAGGAGAAAAAGCCGCTTCTCTTCTTTGGGCCTCGATTTAAAATAAAACCCGACATGTTGGAAAGTGCGGAATATCCTGATGATATTACCTAGCTGGGTTGCGAAACGTCTGAAAGAAGAAAACCAAGCTCAGAGTTGCAGCAGGAAGGCCACAGACGTTCCTTTCCTTGGTGCTGTGGACCTGGGATGGTTATTGTGATTTTAGGCTTGCTTGTTGGGTGATGGTGACCCTGTTTTTACTCCTTGTATGTGCACTGCATTAGCTGTGTGCGATGGCAGAAGTCAACACATGAAATATTTGCAAATGGGCAAGAAGGCTGTACTAAGACATCAACAATGTTGAATTCCCCCCCATTTGCTGCAAGTTACACTGTAATTAAGAGCTACCCTTGAAACTGCTCTTTTCCTTCTCCTTCCCCTCTACTCTTCCTTGGATGAGCTGTTTTTAGACAGAAGCCCAACACCCACTGTTTCATTGGTAGCAAACCTGTGATACTCCAAGCAACATTTCACTAGAGCAGTGGTTCTCAACCTTTTTAATGCCACGACCGCCAACCGGTCGTAAGTTGAGGACTACTCAACCGGTCGTAAGTCGAGGACTACTCAACTGGTGCAGCACCGTTTGCAGAATGGGAGTTTTGGTGGGCTCAGCAGGGCAGAGGCAGCCTGGACAATTCCTATTGGCTTTTGAAAGCCAATAGAATTACACTCTATGCAAGAGAGTCTATTCTATTGGCTTTCAAAAGCCAATAGAATAAAAAGGAGTAGCACAGCTAAGGAAAAGGGGAAAAAAATGGCGGACTGCGTTGTTTGGCGACCCCCGTGAAATGGTCGTTCGACCCCAAATGGGGTCCCGACCCACAGGTTGAGAACCACTGCACTAGAGAATAGTGTAAACAAATTCTTAAACTGGTTAAGAATCTCCTTTCCTTAATTAGCTGCAGTCAGCAACAGCCAGCCAAATAAATCATCCTTCAAAGAAAGAGAGAGAGAAAAAGACACAAGCAAAGGAATTCTACAATCTAAGGATTTATTTGTGCAGATTGGGGGGCTTTTTCGCCCCTTGGTTGTCTTTGACAAGAAGCTGTGGAAAACACTCTACAAATGTTCACGGAAGGAGACTAGGATGAAGCAGGAGGAATGAGCTGCTGAATTTGCAGGAAAATCAAGAGCGAGAGAGGAAAGCAGGGATTAGCAATATTTGAGCAATAAAATCCTGAAAATGGAAAGAAGCAAAAGCGGTTGGCTTAGATGGAAAAGCAAAAGCCGGATGGGGAAGGGGTGGAGAAAGAGGCAGGGCAATCCAAAAACATCCAGAGTCACAGGTGTGAGTTGGACAGCTTTACAGATCAAATCAAAGTATCCTACAGACCATCCATTTGGCACCCTCCATCCATTCGCTTAAGCTCTGCCTGCAATTTTAACCTCACCAAGCAATCAGGAGCCCTTCTGTGGCTGGGAATAAAACTTGCGATGAATATTTCCATCTGATTTAATTTTGTATCTTGCTTTGTTTACCCTGTCTATTAAGAGTAGGTCCTTCCTTCCTTCCTTCCTTCCTTCCTTCCTTCCTTCCTTCCTTCCTTCCTTCCTTTCCTTTCCTTTCCTTTCCTTTCCTTTCCTTTCCTTTCCTTTCCTTTCCTTTGAAAAAAATCAGTAACATACATTGGCTTAAAGTGAATTATTTTTACCTTCAATTGTGAGGGACCCCAAATATCGCAAACTTTTTAAAAAAGTTATCTTTGATGTATAAAAGTTTGGCCTTAACAATCTGGTACTTAGTTTTGGGAAGGCTGCAAAGGAAGGTATTTCAAATTTTCAAATATTAAACCTCCATTTTTATCAGCAGACTGGTTGCTTAATTTGTGCCAGTCATTTCCTGTTTTAAAAGTATACAACCCCCAACTTCAATTATCTGATTGTTTTGGTTCTCTCCCCCCCCCCAATCTGAATGAAACCCTCTGCTGTTTGAAGGCAATTGGTGCTTTTCCACGAACCTTCAGAAATCTTATCCTCTAATAATGCTTCCGGCTCCACCAGTTTGAAGGAAGGAGAAAAAAACATGCAGAAAACTTGCTACACCCAGCACCATGTAAGATAACTAACTGCAGTTAGAGTGCAGTACTGCAGGCCACTTTAGCTGACTGTGTTCAGCAGGTCACCAGTTCAAATCTCACCGGCTCAAGGTTGACTCAGCCTTCCATCCTTCCGAGGTAGGTCAAATGAGGACCCAGATTGTTGGGGGCAATGTAAAATATATATATACATTGCTTACTGGTGTACACCGCCTAGAGAGTGCTTGCACTTAAAGCGGTATATAAGTCTCATAAATAAATAAATAAAGACAAGCTGGGTGTTACTGAAGGGAAGAGCCCCAATTTGCAAGCCCAGCTCTTAATTTCTGGAGAACATTTTAACCTCGCATCACCCATTGCTTGCAAGCCTTCTGCATTCCACCTTTCCAGATCCTCACAACCAGTGCTTTTTTTGTAAAAAAAAAAAAAAAAAAAGATGCCGGAATTCACACACATCATACAACCCGCCTTGCCTACCCTACAAGGTTCCATCCAAAAAAGGTGCCAGAACTCCGTTCTGGGCGTTTTGTGAGAAAAAAAGCCCTGCTCACAATTAAAAATGGCTTCAATCCACAGAGAAACAGCCATTTAAATACATTCCAAATTAAACTCTGAAGCGACTTGCATACAAATGTCTTCTTAGCAAAATAGAGCCAGTAAGTTAGGAACATTTAGCAAGCATATTTTTTTTTGGGGGGGGGGTTATTCTTCCACATGCAAAGAAACAGATCAGGTTATACTTCCCCATGCTTTGATTTGATCACAATTAGTTTTGACTTTTTAAGCCCAATTTTTCAGCCCTCTGATATGCATTCTTATTCAGAAGTTAACCTTATGTTTCTTCATACCACAGACTAACATAGGTCTCCTGATGTGTAACTGAGCCTCATTTTTCTGGCATTAAACTTGTAATTTAGGGCTCCAAACTTCCTGGTAATGTGGCATTCTTGCCGCATTTGAGCATGTTTACCTGCTTTTTGTGAGATGGGTGGCCATATAAATGTGATGAATAAAAACATGCTGGGTTACCTTACTGGAGCTAAATAAATCACTATCTTTGTTATAATTGTGGGACACAAAGGGGCGGGTGTCTAAGAATGCATGTGGAACCCCGTTTTTTACAGGAATGGACCAGGAGCTGCTGGTTGACCTTGACTCACACAATCCTCTCGCAAATTCTTGGAGAGCAGCCAATCTCTTCAGCCCCCTCCACCTTGCGGACCAAAAATGCAAGCCACAGGAAAACGACGGAAAGTATGCTTTGTCAGACAGTCATTAGCCACCAGTTCCTGCCTTGCCAGCATCTGGCTGTAGAAAATCAAATAAATAAACAGAAATAAATCTGAGAAGGGCACTGGTTTTCTTGCGATGGGGGAGTGGTGACCCCTTTTATGTCCTCTGCAAGCCACATGATTGTTTTGGTCACATGAAAAGAATAACGGAGTAACAGAGTTGGAAGGGACCTTAGAGGTCTTCTAGTCCAACCCTCTGCTCAAGCAGGAAACCCTATAACATTTGACACATGGTTGTCCAAAGATGCACAGACTTTCCTTCCAGCCATAAACAGCTCTTCCCAAAAGGCCAGATTGAGCCAGACAAACTAAGATGATCGATCCGGAGTATTCTTTTCAAAAAAAACAAGGATCAATTATTTTTTCTCTTTTGTAATCTGGTAGCTACCTCTTTGACCACATCCTGGTCAATACGAGGCTTCTGCCATCCAGGTGGGCCCTGCGTAGCCACCCAAAACTGGGTTGCACTGTTTACTGCACAGCTCAGCAGCACAATTTTAACCTCTGTTTGGAAAACGTAGCGTGCATTTAAGGTATAATTTAAGAAAAGGAGCGATCCCTGGTTCCTTCTTCAATGCAGCCCGAGACAAAGTTCTCCAACTCCTGCTATGGTTCAGCTTTGCAGCCCACCCCCAAGAAGCCCTTGGGCCTCATAAATGGAACCTTCTTCCCATCCTCTCCCTGTCCCAGGGGTCCTTTTGCCCAAAATGAAAAGAAGAAACGGAAGCTATAGCATCCCAAACCCCGTAGGAGTCTGAGTTTTTCTTTTGTGTCTCCTACCCAGCAGTTCTTGGAAGACCAGAGGGAAAAGGAACCCAGAAGAGGAAACTGGAAAAGGCAACAACCCCCCCCCATGGCCCCCACTCTGCTTTTGGGAGGGGGGGATTGAAGAGGGTCGAGTGAGGAAGCGGGGTGGCGAAAGCAGAGGGAGGGAGGGAGGGAGGGAGGGAAGGAAAGCAAGGCAAGGGGATGGACTATATGGTCATGCTCCCGTTTCCCCACCCCTGCAAGGCATTGCTTGCACATTATGGCATGATGAGTTTGGGTCTAAGCGCAAATCAGTCACTCCCAGCAGCTATATGGCTAAAGAGAGAGAGAGAGAGAGAGAGAGAGAGAGAGGAGGGAGAGAGGGAGGGGAGGGAGAGAGAGAGAGAGAGAGAGAGAGAGAGAGAGAGAGAGAGAGAGAGAGAGAGAGAGAGAGAGAGAGAGAGAGAGAGAGAAGATTAAGAGAAAACCGTTCTGCCTTTCAGCTCAAATCCATAGTCCACACCGGCCTCCTTTTTCCAAAACCTCCAGGAAGAGGCCCACGTTCCCTGGATAGGTTTAGACTTGTGTGACAGGCTGTCCTTCCTTCCTTCCTTCCTTCCTTCCTTCCTTCCTTCCTTCCTTCCTTCCTTCCTTCCTTCCTTCCTTCCTTCCTTCCTTCCTTCCTTTCCCCCCCAACCTCCCGGTGCCCCTCTCCCCCCACGCTGCTTTTCTTCTCCCTTCAAAGCGACACAAAATCCACAGCTTGCAGCAATGGGAGCGACAGGAGGAGCAGCAGGAGCCAGGAGGTGTTCTGGATGAAGACGCTGATCCCGGCGCATCTCGCCAACTGGGCTGTAAGGGGAAAGAACAGAACAGAGTCACAGAGTCGGAAGGGAGCTTGGAGGCCTTCTAGTCCTACCCCCTGCTCAAGCAGGAGACCCCACCCCATTCCAGACAAAGGGCATCCACTCTCTTCTTGAAAACCTCCCATGATGGAGCACCCACAACGTCTGAGGAAAGCCGTTCTACTAAGTGGTTAAGGATGGCTGCAAAAAATGTCAAAAAAGTCAGTTCAGCCACGTGAAGATCTTCTTAATGACCGGCATGACTTAATTCCTGCCTCAATTATGATAGTAAGATGAGGACTACCTACAGGTAACATTATTAGTGCAACAAGTGTGGGGTTTGCTCCCTGTTTATATACAGTAGCTTGCCCCGTCCATATTGGTGGGATTGTGGTTTTCTCCTTGGCAATTGCCTGGTCTTTCTACCTAGAAGAATCCCTTTCCTCCTGGGTCACCTATCCCAGTGTTCACTCTTTCTGCCAGATGTTTCTCCTACTATCCGACTCAACCTTCCTGTAACTTCCACCCACCTTCTGCCCTCTAGAAGGATAGAGCCTAACCTGGCCCTACATACTTGGGGGTCTCTTCCCTCTTCTCTAAGAGAAGCAGTGGCAGAACTTGAGGGGGGAGTCAAAAGAGGGATCAGCCTAGAATCTCTACGTAGTCACAAGGGAACAAAGTCCAACATCCCTCAGTTCATTCTTATCGAACTCCAAACATGTGCTTCCCCTTAGCTGAGAAGACTCCTATGCACAGGCTGTTTAGCAATAAACCAGTTTCATTGGACCTTCAGCCGTGGACCTGGTTTTTCACCCACCCCCCCGACATCTGCTCACCTTTGACCACAGTGATGTCCCTGGACTGCATGTCTTCATAATCATTGATGATCTTCAACTTGCAGGTGTAGACTCCCTCATCGCTGGTTGTGAAGCCATTGAGGTACAGGCACACAAGGTTGTTGTTGGCAGTGATGTTGGTCCGAAGCTTGTAAGGAGCACTGGCCACACTGGAGTTGCCGGCCACCACTGTTCCATCACCGCTGCCCTTGAACAGGCGGAATTCGTAGGATAGAGGATTGGTAGTTTTCCGTTCGTAGGCACAGTCTATCCGCAGGGTTTGATTGCTCAAACAAGCCGTTAGTCTTTTGATTCGTTGGCCATGGCTGACTTGGAGCACTAAGGAAGGGAATAAGAGAAAAACAAAGTTGGAAGAGACCTTGGAGGACTTCTAGTCCAACCCCCTACCCAGGCAGGAAACCCTACATCTATACCATTTCAGTCTCTTCTTCAAAACTTCCAGTGTTGGAGCATCCATAACTTCTGGAGGCAAGTTGTTCCACTGACTAATATGGTAGTTCTAACTGTCAGGAAATTTATCCTTAGTTCTAAGTTGGTTCTCAACTTGATTAGTTTCCATCTGTTGCTTCTTGTCCTGCCCTCAGGGGCTTTGGAGAATAGGTTTTTCTTTGGGGCAGCCCCTTAGATATTAGAACACTTGTTATCATGTTATCCCTAGTCTATCTCTTCATTAAACCAGTCGAGATAATGTCATCACCTTGGATTGAGTGAGTGGTAGGGTGACTGCAGTATAGAATCCAACCATTGGTTAATCAACCCTTTAACCAGATTCAAGGGTCAAAACAACTTTAACCCAAGTATCATCCAACATCTGGCTAGTATTGAAGTAGCAACGGAAAAGAATATTTGTAGCTCAGGGTTGAACTGTGGGGTCCTTGGTGCTCTCTGAGCCTGCTTGTTTTCTTGTAGACATTTCATGATCCAACTAGGTAATGCCATCAGTACTGGAAGGAAGTGGGGTGTGCAGAGAGGAGGAGGGGGAGGAGGAGGATGACTATGGGGTCCTTGGTGCTCTCTGAGCTTGATTGTTTTCTTGCAGACGTTTCATGACCCAACTAGGTAATGCCATCAGCAATGAAGATGTTACCTAGTTGGGTCATGACACAACTGCAAGAAAACAACCAAGCTCAGAGAGCACGAAGACCCCAAAGTATCTAAGTGTTAAAACCCCTTTTAAGAATTGGTCCAAAGAAATCAGAGGCAACCTTGATTAAATGAGGCCATGTGTTAAAAAAAATCCACAGCCTCCATTAAAAATAATTACCTACTGATCCCAATGACAAACTGGAGACTTTAACAAATGAAGAGTGGTTTCCTTATTACTCTCACAGGGGAAAGGAACATCTGTACACATTCACACGTACCTCATATCCCCTAAAAAGAGGGCATAACACATCTTTCTCTTCTCCAGAGAGCCAACTCATGTGCAGATCAGAACCCCTTCACTGACTGGGGGGGAAATATGCTAACAATCTTAATTTCTATGCAAATAGAAAAACCCAGAGGTTTGGTTTTTTGTTTTTAAGGTCAGCTCTACATCAGGCTCAATTCCTAGCAGAATCCAGATGTAGAGCATGAAGGGCTCAAAAGAAAAAAAATTAATACACAAGTTAAAAAAAAGGGGAATATTAGACAATACAGAGAAAGAGGCCTTGTAGCGTTTCTCAACCTTGGCAACTTGAAGAGGTCTGGACTTCAACTCCCAGAATTCCCCAGCCAGCACATGCTGGCTGGGGAATTCTGGGAGTTGAAGTCCAGGCCTGTCCTATTGCCCAGGTTGAGGAACACTGTCATAAACACATTGTGGTAAAAATGACAGGCAGCGAAGCGCAATTACAGGGGGAGGAGTAGGAGGAGATGTGGCTGTTTTTCTTTTCCCCTGAAGGAGTTGAGAAAAAGCTGCTGCCCCAGAATTGAACAGACAAACTTTCCTTCGCTAAATCTTTGCTCCACGCAGGGGAGAGATTTTTCTCAAAAAGGAAGGAAGCGCTCGGCGTATTTTCTTTCTACTTTCAGGGCGGATGCAAAGTGCGAACAAAGCGGCATCTTCAACACAATCCCTGCTGAAGCTCCATATGGGCAGTCCCCGATTGACACTTTGTGACTGTTTGAAGTTACCGCGGCACTGGAAAAAGCTGACGACCGCTGCAGCGTTCCCCACGGTCACGTGATCAAAATTTGGATGCTTGGCAACCGACTCGTACTTATGACGGTTGCCGTATCCTGGGGTGTGTGTGTCAGGCAATCACGAGCAAAGTCAATGGGGAAGCCAAATTCACTTAATGACCGGGTTGCTAACATTAACAGCTGCAGCGATTCACTTAACTGGGGGCAAGAAAGGTGGTAAAATGAGGGCAAAACTCACTTAAAAGCTATCTCGCTTAACAACAGAAACGTCTGGCCCAATTGCCGTCGTAAGTCGAGGACCAGGTTATCAAAACAGAGATGGAAGTGAGTGACGATAGCTAGAAAGGTCATTTTTGGGAAATGGATACGCTTAATCCAGACAGTTGCCTCCTGGGGCCACCAGGTGGCAGCACCTGGCAGCATCTCCTTTTACCTGCCAAAAGCAGAGTGAGGCTGATGGTTGATCTCAGCATCTTCCTGGGTGGGTGAGTTGTGGGGTGGGGGCAGGGGCGCCTGGCACACGGCAGCGTCTGTGGAGCGAAATCTAGGAACAGAAGCAGCAGATACTTCAGGAGACAGAGGTGCCAAGGGACTAGCAAAGCTGGCAATGCCACCTTGCCCAAAGCAGAATTTAAAAAAAAATAAATGGTCAAAGCAGCTTCTCGGCCATGACCGGATGGCATCACCCACCAGAAGAGGCTCTTTGCTAGCAAGGGAGTCCTGTCCTCTTTTCTCAGGCTTCTAACATTCTCCTTTCTGCAGGTTTTTGTCAGCGCCGGGCATCGTGCCAGCCAGCCACCCACCCGTGGGAGAGAAAAGAAAGATGACTCACAAGCCAGTCTCTGAAGTCGCAGAAGAATTTTATGATCTCCTGCAGTTAAAAACAAAACAAAACAAAAAAAAAACAGATCAGACCCAGCAACGAATTCTAGGAATTGGGGAGCTGGGAGAGGATGCCTGTCAGCTCCTTTGCTAGCCTGAATTGGCAATTACTCGGGCAGGGAGGCAAAAGGGAGACTGCAGAGAAGGAGGAGGCTGGAAACAGACTGCAGATCTCAGTGAATTTAGCTATTTAGGAAAGACTAAGGGCTTGTCTAGAAATTCTTTCCAGAGGAAAACTCCTTAAATTCTCCTGTAATTTGTGGTTAACGGGCAGTGAAAAAGCCAAGGGTCTGATGCGGTGCAGCTGCCTCCCGATTCCGGGGCTGGTCTTTCTCAGCAGAGGCTGCGATCCAGAAGTCTGGCTGGGATGGAGAAGGGGGCACAGGGTGCGCCCCTCCCACGCCCGCCCTATCGGGGGAGCAGGCGGCGGGCAGGACGGCCTTGGGCGAGAGAGCTTGTCCTGCGGATCCAAGGTCGCCCTTCTCCTCCTCGTCTCCAACAGAGGTGGGTCGGAGGGTCCCCTATGCCAGTGTTTCCCAAACTTGACAATTTTAAGGCATGAGGACTTCAACTCCCAGAATTCCACAGCCAGCAACGCTGGCTGTGGAATTCTGGGAGTTGAAGTCCACATGCCTTAAAATTGCCAAGTTTGGGAAACACTGCCCTATGCGGAGCTCCTCCTTCCCGCCCCCCCCCCGTCTCGCGCCCATCTAGGCCGGCCTTAAAAGGGGACACTGCAGCCCGCCTGCTCCCTCGGTCAAAGAAGCCCCGTCGGCGCAGCGCAACGCGGCGGGTCCTGCGGCACTCCCGGGCCGAGCACGTGCGCGCTTTTTGCACAATCCGGGCCCGCCAAAGGCAGCAGGAGACCGGCAGCCCTGCGCGCTGGCGCTGCGGCAATGGTCTGCTTTGCGCAAAGCCGCCTCTACGCCGCAGGGCCCGGTCGGGATCCGCCCTGCAGCCCCTCGCCCCACCTGGCCTCGCCGCTTTCCTCCTCTCCCCCCCCCCCCGAGGGGCTCTGGCAGGCCCCCTTCCCCGCCTGAGCGCCCGCCGTCTGCAGGGTCGCTCGCTTCCTGCAGCTCCATCACCCTGGACAGCTCCTGCCCGCCTCGCTTCCCGACGCTTTCCCACTCCAGCCTGGCGGGTTGGGACTGAAGGGGACCCTCCAGAGTCAACCTTGGCCATTTTAAGGCATGTGGACTTCAGCTCCCAGAATTCCACAGCCAGCGTTGCTGGCTGTGGAATTCTGGGAGTTGAAGTCCACATGCCTTAAAATGGCCAAGGTTGAGAAACACTGCTCCAGACGGAGGGATCTGGGGGGAGGTTTGGAGAGGGAGGCTGTGAAAGCCCCCCGGGGGATGAAAAGAGACGGGCCAGCCTGCTCCGCCCTGCCCGGCTCTTTGCACCTCTCCTCGCCCCTTCTCCAGCATCATCTTTCCCCCGGCTTCCCGGACGCGCCCTGTTTGAGGGTGGTTGCCCCTCTCCTCGTCCGTAAGAGCGGACCTTGGTCGCCTGGGGATGATGGAGGCTGGAGTCTCTCCATCCCCTCCGGCCACTCCTGGGGGGGCGCCGGGTTGGGGGTGCCTGCCCGGGATGGGCTGGATTGCGCCCTTACTAGCCAGAGACGCCTCCGTCTGCGCCCCCCCCCCGTCCCTTCATTGCGCCTCTGCTGATTCCCAGCCGGAGAAAGAGGAGCGGAGAAGCCGAAGCTGCCTGCCTGCTGCACCCCGAGGATCCCCTCCCCGCCCCGCAGCCGCGCGCCCCGTTACCTGCGGCCCGAGCCACGTCCGGGCGCCAGAACCGCTCTCCCGGTCTGGCGCAGGCTGGGGCGGCTGCACGAGGTGCCTCTGCGAAGGGGCGGGCTTCCCAACAGGTCCCACCCCTTCGGACAACCTCCCCGCCTCTGCGGTACCCAGGCGGAGAGCCTGCAGCAGCCCGAGGGTGGGAGGGGGGGGTGAAGGTGGGGGCTCTGCGCGTGCACCAAGGCAGAGTTTGTGTGTGGGGGGGTCTCGGGTAGCTCTGCAAGGGCAGCTTGGAAGTTTGGGAGCTGATGCGAGTCGGGGAGGGGGTGTCTGTAAGACGCCCGCAGGGCTCCTTCTCCAGGCGTTTATTTTGGGGGGGCAGTTGAGGGTCAGGGACTTCGTGCCCCCAGGAGAGACCATTTTTCTCGGGGGAGGGGGAGGAAACGCCATTTCATTTTAATGCAAAATAATTTTAATGTGAATTAAAATTTCATTTTACTGTATGCTCATTTAAAGTGACAATAAACCTATTCTGTTCTGTTCCATTTCGTTCTGTTCCATTCCGTTCCATTCCGTTCCATCCCATCCCATCCCATCCCATCCCATCCCATCCCATCCCATTCTCTCTGACTGTGCATTTTCACACCTGCAGTAGCAGCCCTCCGGGAGCGGATTCGGGCCTCTTGCCAAGCAGGACTGATGGGCAAGAGCAAGATTCCTGTCTAGCCCTGCCCAGCCTGGCCTGTCAGTTGGGGTTGGGGAGGGGCCTGGTTGGGGGATTATTCCCGCCCTCTCTTGTGACAGAAAGACTGCAGATTTTGCAAAGAGAATTGGGGAAGGGATCAGACTTATTAACTAAGCTTGAATTATCTGGATGCAGCCATCCAGCAGGCGGTGCCTTGCGGTAGGTTAGGTGTGGCCAACAGCATCAGATTCCAGGAAGGATGGGCTAAATGCTGGACTGAGAGGGGGCAACCTGGGTGCTGTAATCCCAGAGACCCTCAAGATCAGGGTTTCCCAACCTTGGCCACTTTAAGGCAGGTGGACTTCAACTCCCAGAATTCCCCAGCCAGCTGTGCCTCTTTAAGATCAGCAAGGTTGAGAAACACAGGGCAGTTTTCTCAACCTTGGTCACTTGAAATGGGTGGACTTCAACTCCCAGAATTCCCCGGCCAGCAGAGTTGAAGTCATCTTAAGGTGACTACAGTTGGGAAACCCTGCTCTAGGAAATCCATTCCCCTGTCCTGAATCTGCATGGCCCGCCCCCTCCCACAGGGTGTACCCCTCAACCCCAGCCAGAAGTAGGTGAGGGCTGTCGTGGTGCTCCTAGTTCAGGGGTGTCAAACTGCCGGCCCACAGGCCGGTTTCATCATACTGAAGCCGCGCCCACCCCATTGCAAATGGCAAAACTGGCCCGATATGTTGCAGGACGTCACGTGACATCGCGAGTTTGACATGTCTGTCCTAGTTTATTTACTTATTTATGAGACTTATATACCGCTTTAAGTGCAAGCACTCTCTAAGCGGTGTACACCAGTAAGCAATGTATATATATATATATATTTACATTGCCCCCAACAATCTGGGTCCTCATTTTACCTACCCCGGAAGGATGGAAGGCTGAGTCAACCTTGAGCCGGTGAGATTTGAACCGCTGACCTGCTGAACACAGTCAGCTAAAGCGGCCTGCAGTACTGCACTCTAACTGCTGCGCCACCTTGGTTCTTAGTTGGATGGCCTTTGCCAAAGCAGGAAATTGGATCCAGGCTGGTCCAAGGCCTGATCCAAGCCTCAGGGCCCAAGAACAGTTTCAAGGTGAGGAACATCTCCAGAAGAACCACACAACCCCTAGAGCTATGTGTGTTTGTGTGTGTGTGGAATTGGAGATCTGGAAGGAGAGATGAAGATGGTTGAAGCTTCAAGCTATTAGTAGTCCTTGACTTACGATCAAAGTCTCAGTTGTGAAGTGAGACAGTTGCTAAGTAAATTTTGCCCCATTTTACGACCTTTCCTGCCACCGTTGTTAAGTGAAATCCCTGCGGTTGTTAACAACCCAGTTGTTAAGTGAATCTGGCTTCCTCATTGACTTTGCTTGTCGGAAGGTCGTAAAAAGGGATCAAGTGATCCTGGGATGCAGCGACCGTCATAAATACGAACCAGTTGCCAAGTGTCTGAATGTTGATCCCGTGACCTTGAGGATGCTGCAATGGTTGTGAAAGATGGCCGTGAGTCCCTTTTTTCAGGGACGTTGTAACTTCCATCACTAAATGAACTGTTGTAAGTTGTGGGCTACTTGTACTAAGACCATCTTCTGCTGAGTTCCTGGGATTGCCAGTGGGAAGGAGGTGCCGTTAATTGCCAAAACTTTGCTGTTTGGGGAGGCTGGGGGGGGTGCTTGAGATTTTGGGGACAACCCACCACCCTTTCTGGGCTGGGAGAGAGAAAGATGCTTCAGTCTGATGGCTTTGGTCACCTCAGGGGTCACTTCAAGGATTATTTTGAATTGGCTGTTTTACAAGCCCTTGTAAATCTGGAGGTCTGTGCTGAAAGCTTGACTTTCCCAGATTCATCTCAGGAAAAGAGAGGCATTAAAAAAAACAAAAACAAAACAAACATTATTTTTTATTGCAGCCTAGCTCAGACACTGGGCAAAACCAGACTCTTCCGTTGGAACGGACATTTCTGCCTTGAGACGGACGCCGCCTTCTTTGCGGAACAAATCCCGTTTTTTAAGATCCTTCTGGAAAGGGGTGGGGTGGGGGGGAGGGAGGGAGAGTTAAGCAGAGGCTGGGTGTCCCCCTTTACAGGGGTAGGCAATGCAGCTGTGCTGACTCAGGAATTCTGGGAGTTGAAGTCCACGAGTCATAAAAGAGCGGAGGTTGCCTACCCCTGCGCCTTGTACAAAGGACCACCTACTCCGACCTGGTGCCCGTTGGAGATCTCCAATTCCCAGGGGTTTCCTCTCCTGATCAGACGCCGCTGGGCTCAGCCAGCTGCCTTTCCTTGGTGCAAAAGGTTATAAAGTGGGCGCGGCTCACTTAAGGACCATCATAAGTCAAGGACTATCTGTAGGCAAATCAGGAATGAAAGTCTTTTAGAGGGAGTCTTTACTGTTGATGCCCTCAATTTGCCCTTCTTTGTTATTTATTATCTTTAAAGCCTCCCGTGATGGGCGGGGCCATCAGATTTATAGGGATCCCTGATTGCTTGGCATCATTAAAGCCATTGATCCAGGAGGGAAAAATTGCGTGCGTGCGTGTGTGTGTGTGTGTGTGTGTGTGTGTGTGTGTATGGAGGGGAAAACCAGTTGGAAGACAGAACAGTTTGAACAGGATTCAGTGGAGACAAAGCAAAGGTTTGCCTGCCACGATTTCAGGCAGTTTATTTATTTATTTATGAGACTTATATACCGCTTTAAGTGCAAGCACTCTCTAAGCGGTGTACACCAGTAAGCAATGTATCTATATATTTACATTGCCCCCAACAATCTGGGTCCTCATTTTACCTACCCCGGAAGGATGGAAGGCTGAGTCAACCTTGAGCTGGTGAGATTTGAACCGCTGACCTGCTGAACACAGTCAGCTAAAGTGGCCTGCAGTACTGCATTCTAACTGCTGTGCCACCTCGGCTCTTCTCAATGTTCTTCTCGAAGTTCTCAATGTACGACCGCAACATTTCTGTTGCTAAGTGAGACAGTTGTTAAGTGAGTTTTTGCCCCATTTTTACAAGCTTTGTTGCCACGGCTGTTAAGCGAATCACGGCTGTTAAGCAGGTGTTCAGTTAGTAACATGGTTGTGAAGTGAATTTCGTTTCCCCACTGACTTTGCTTGTGAGATGGTCGCCAAAGGGGATCATGTGACTCTGGACAACCCAACCGTCATAAATACGAGTCAGTTGCCAAGTGTCTGAATTTTGATCATGTGACTCTGGGGATGCTACAACAGTCATAAGTGTGAAACACTCAGTGACTCCTAAGTCACTTTTTTAGTGCTGTTGTAACTTCGAATGTCACTAAATGAATTATACGTCAAGGACCACCTGTATTGGTTGAAATCTCAATGTTGGAAGCCGAGACTGCATGGAACATTCCGACTAGTGAATTTGTAGTTTGGTGGAAGGGACACCACCCACCTTTTTCATGTATAGAGGGCATTTCTGGACATCTGTGCACAAAACAGACGGAGAAATCCAAATTCTATTAAAGCGTGCCAGCTGGATTATAGAGGCTACCAGAATGTTGGAAAGGCCACCCTTGGAATACTGCATCCAGTGTTAGTTGCCGTGATATAAAAAAAATATAAAAGATATATTGAGACTCTAGAACAGGAGTGTCAAACTGCTGGTCAGCGGGCCCGGTGCGTCACTGGGAAACCGCGCCCACCCCATTGCCGGCAATGGGGAAAAAGCTCCGATACGTTGCACGACGTCATGTGACGTTGCGAGTTTGACATGTCTGTTCTAGAAAGAGTACAGAGAAGAGCAACAAAGAGAATCAGGAGGCTGGAGGCTAAAACATATAAGGAACGGTTGCTGGAATTGGGTATGTCCAGTTCAGGGGTAGGCAACCTTGGCTCTTTTGTGACTGGCTCAGGAATTCTGGGAGTTGAAGTCCACAAGTCATAAAACAGCCAAGGTTGCCTACCCCTGGTCCAGTTTAATGAAGAGAAAGACGAGGGGGGACGGGATAGCAGTCTTCCAATATCTAAGGCATAGGTGTCAAACTTGCCACATCAGGAGATGTGTTGCGATGTATTGTGATGTTTTTTTGCATTTCCAGAGCTGGGGTGGGTGCGGTCTCCATTTGATGCAACCCAGCCCGCAGGCTGGCAGTTTGACACCCCAGATCTCAGGGGCTGCCACAAAGAAGAGGGAGTCAAGCTATTCTCCAAAGCGCCTGAAGGCAGGACAAGAAACAACGGATGGAAACTGACCAAGGAGAGGAGCAACCTAGAACTACGGAGAAACTTCCTGACAGTGAGAACAATTTAATCAGTGGAACAACCTGCCTCCAGAAGCTGTGGATGTTCCGACACTGGAGATTTTAAAGAAGAGACTGGACAGCCATTTGTCTAGAATGGTATAGGGTTTCCTCTTTGGGCAGAGGGTTGGACTAAATGACCTCCAAGGTCCCTTCCAAC